TTCCCCACCCAAAACACAAAGGACTTTCTTCAGTACAATATTTCAAATAAAACTCTCCAGCTGCATCCTTTATGAATCTTCCTGCTGAAATTGTGGTTAAATTACTGAGTTCCAGTCCTTTTAAATCCTTAATTTCTCCTATCCTTTCTTCTGTCGCTGGACTCTTTCACTAGATTGCTGTAAATTTGCACTTTTCTAGCTTCAATAAATTCTGATACTTTCCAAATTCTGCAGCCTTGATAAAAAATTACCTCTCGGGCCCTTCCACCGTCTTTGTAGCTATGCCTTATGAAGCCTATTCTTGATGACAGCAATGCTCATTGTAAGAAGTTTTATATCATTTTGGACTCCTTTGCTTTTCCATTCTGGTCTTTTGCACTGTTTTCATTATCACCTTTCTCCCCCAAGAGACAGCTAATATTATTCTCCAAGTCTCTCGTGTTCTTTGCAAAGCCTCAGACCTCAGACCTCAGACCTCACCCTCTTCTTCTTTTCCTAATCCACGCTCTTCTCTCTGCACTTCTTACCAGCTTCCTGATGAACTTTTGTCTTTGGAGAGCTGAGATTGTCTTGTTGCTCCTTTCAAAGCTGAAGTCTCTCTCTACTGATAAGTGCCGATTCACCTGTGTCTTCTTAAAGTAACACTTAAAATAGTACTTTTCTTGAAAAAAGAATCTTTCTTCTTGCATTATCATCAATGGCAAGAGTCTCTGTGTGAAATTAGAATCCACACTGCTGCTACCATGTTGTATTTCCCTAATTTCCACTCAGATCCTCATAGTATCTGCTATCTCTGTATGTAGCACAGAGTAAAGGTTGTTTGAGGTAATTCACTGCTCATCCTTTATACTATGTCTAGGGCCTGTCTAATATCATTGGTAGAGAAGAAGCTGCATGCCAAAAAGGCCATGGCTAAATGTAGTAGTAGTCTACTGGTGAAGGTAGCAGCATTTTTATTCTTTTTCTTTCATTTATCCACTGTTTTGAGCTGTCATAAGAGATAAGGAGAGATTGCAACAGGGCCTTTAAATTGACAGCTACGATTAACTGCCAGTACATGGCATGAATTCCTGATGCCTGATATCCAAGTCTAGATGCCTGTTTTAGTATAGAACACCATTCACACTGCCCACTGGCTACCTTTCACAGAATCTCTACAGTGTGGAAGCAGGCCTATCAAGTCTACACCAACCCTCTGAAGAGCAACCCACACAGATCCACACCCTTACCTTTGAATTTTCCCAAGCTAATCCATCCAGCCTGCACATCCCCGGACACAATGGCCAATTTAGCTTGGCCAATCCACCTATCATGCACATCTTTGGTTTGTGGGAGGAAACCCCAGCTCCCAGAGGAAATCTGCACAGACAGTCACCCGGAGGTGGAATTGAACCTGGGTCCCTGGTGCTGTTAGGCAGCAGCGCTAACTGCTGAGCCACTGTGCTTTTCTGCAAAGGCTTTACTAATTGTCCATCATCTGATTTGCCGCTGTGCTGGTGTGAGGCTAGGATTGAATGGGCCACTCACTTTCCATTCCATCTCCCTCAAAAGTTGTAAAATCTAGCCTTTTCTTTTGACTCCCTTCTGCCTATATCACCAAACTTTTAATCCATAAAGTCTTTTTCTTTTCAAGAAATTTTATCATGTCACTGAACAGCTCTTGTCAGTGCAATAATATTTCAAAGATAGATTGGAACAAGATATTGTACAAAGAATCCATACCAAATACAAATGATCTGCCCTCTGTAAATCCCTTCATGTTAAACTGTTAAGCACTAAGATTCTATTGAATGATATAGTAAAGTAAAACAGGCAGTCTCACATAAATCTTAATAGATTAATGTTATCAGATTTGAACAGCACCATTAGTTTTCATTGAACATTTCATTCACACAGAACCAACACTTTATGTTGATTTAGAAGAAAAACATAAGGAAATGCTTCAGAATTGTGACTGAATTATGCCAATTTGTAAAAGAAGTCACATGTACAGAACAAGATAAAAAGAAAACATGCAAAGACAAAAACACAAACACTAAGAAACAGAACTGTTTGCTAATTGGATAATGGCAAAGAGTATTTTTGGTTATTATTCTGCTTTTTGACCAGAAATATTCCTCTCCTGTGGTTGAGTTATCCTTACTTTGCAACAAAATACCATTAATTTAATACTCAGACAATTTTCTCATCAGGAGAAGCCACATACCTCTCCTTGGAATGTTCTAAGGTTCACCTTTTGTTACAATGAATTACTCAATCATGAAAAAATTCCTGATCTTGTCAGAATTGCAATGTCAAATGGATCTTTTTTAACTAGAGCAGAGAAATGGCTGCAAAGATATTATTTAGGTGGTACGACGGCTCAGTGGTTATCACTGCTGCCTCACAGCGCCAGGGAACAGGTTTGATTCCAGCCTCAGGCAACTGTCTGTGTGGAGTTTGCACATTCTCCCCATGTCTGCGTGGATTTCCTCCAGGTGCTCTGGTTTCCTCCCACAGTCTAAAGATGTACAGGTTAAGTGGATTGGCCATATTAAATTGCCAAAGGTGTTCAGGGATTTGCAGGCTAAGTGGATTAGCCATGGCAAATGCAGGGTTACAGGGAGAGGGTAGGGGGGTGTGTCTGGGTGGCTGCTCTTCAGAGAGTCTGTGTGGTCTGGATGGGCCAAATGGCCTGCTTCTACACTGTAGGCATACTATGATTCTAAGAGGTCTTCAAAGACACTTTAAGGTAAAGGAACAAATTATTTTACTAAAGCTTGTATTATTTCAGAAAAATATGACAGACAATAACTGTAAGAAGTAAGGGAAACTAACTGAAAGGATGGGCAAAAGACTATAGAGGTAGGAAGCTTGGCACCTTTTAAGAAAAGTTGGTGATACACTGAGTTGTCAACAATAAGCTTGTCCCAAAGCCAGAACACACTCTGACATCTTATATTGATGGATAGTAGATCTTACCCCCCACAGTGGATTGAAGACCCACCCTCTGGACTGAAGGCTATCTGATTGGCCAGCAATTCCAGCAGTCCCACCAGCACCTAAGCTTTGGAGTGGACACTGTCAGAACTGCAGGCAAAACCATGAAGGAAGCCCCAGGGATTCCAGTGTAAAAGGGAGCTATTGGGTAGGGTTTTTTTTTGGCTGCTTAGGGAGGGCTTGCAGGTGGTGGGGAGAGATTTTTAAACTATGTGTAGCTAGGAAGAATGAGGCTACTGTCTTCTTGGTGGGTGCTCCAAATGGGCAAAGTGCACCCCGCAAAAGATAGCATCTCCTCTTTCCCACCACTTTAAGCACCCAAAATGGGAATTCCACTCCTGCCCTTGCAACCATTTTATGATGTATGCAGCATAATATTGGGGTCAGTTGGGCTTCAAACAAAATAATTAATTATTTACATATGGGGGATGGGCTGCAGATTATGGCATCTGCCCACAACCCTACATAATGGGGGTGCTACAAAGAAGGTGGCACACTCGCTATTCAACCCACATCGTATAAGCCCCTCTGACAAAATTCCATTTGGGCCATGTAATGTTCAGCACAGTATTTCAAATTTTCATTACCTGCTACTCACAAAACAGAACTGTTCCGTGTTACATGGGACAGATGGTACACAAATGCGATAAAGTATCATTTAGTGTCATGAATGTAAATTTGATCACAAACTTTTTTAACAGAATACAAACTGCTAACTTGATTACAGTGGTATTTGTTAAAGCTGTAAAGTGTCATCTGTTCATAAGTTGCAAACGTACCTACTATTTTATGGGTTGTCAATACCAATGTTCGATGGATATAATGGGCTGATCATCTTAGGAGTGGTGTTCATTGTTATGGCTATTACCACTCTGTTCCTTTCTTCTCACTTTGCCCAGGAGCTCTGCATTTTAGGTCTGGACATCTGAATGACGTCTCTTAAGAAATGTGAAACATACTTGTGCAAAATCAGCTGAGCCAAACCCCTTTTTAACTCCACTCTCTGCTGTATTTCAAAGTTGTAAAGTTTCAGAGGCACTTTGATGACATACAGAGAGAAGGTAAGTAAGTGGGGGGGGGGGGGGGGGGGGCGATGTGAGAGGTGGGTGAGGGAGTAGGGTGACGTGTTGGCAAAGTGAGGTAGTATGGCAGGTGGGTGGGTGAGAGAGTAGGATGAGATGGGAGGTGGAGGGGAGGTGGTCCAGAACAGGAATTCCAGGAGTGATTGATGGAGGTGCTGGGGGAGGCGAGAATCTCGGTGTCAGTCATCAATCAGGTTGTGGTGGTGGTCAGTTTTATAGTTATCCAGAAGTGACAGCAGGTTTTAGTTGTTCAACTGGTAACTATTCTGGCAAGTGCATCTGGATTGTCAGAAACATCCCATGCTAATTCAAGAGTTGACATTTTTGGAGGGTTCCACATGCATCTGGGAGTTTGCCCATTGGAATTTTAAACTTTTTTGGAAATTCCCACAAGGGAGATCAGAAGATTTGGGTCATAAACTCCTATAACAAAAATCCAGTAAGATGCAAGTTTGCTCTCTATGCTCCTAAATTCTATACATTAGAACCAGGTAGTGACGGCTTTGAATAAGCTAAGCTTTGTGTTTAAACAGAACAGGTATTGTCCTATCAGTCAAACAGACTTCAAAATTACATCCAAAAGTTTACAAACCAATAAAATGATTATGTTGCATTTTAAATAATGAATTCTAATCTAAATATATATGGTGTGCAATAATTTTGAAGAAACGTATGATATTTTAAAAATCACTATACCTTTACTGGTGAAAGCCTTACATTTAATGACAGACTTGTGACGGAAGGGACTTCTTATACTGCATGTTACAAAATAAATTCAACAATGAAATGATCAAAACTCTCCCATCTCTTTCGCTTACAAAGGGCACTTACTCAGACAAAATTGAAAATTCACAACCGAAGTTTAAAATCCCACTTAAAAACCTCTCATGCTAGACTAAGTAGCACAAATAGATTAAACATGCTTTTCTTAAGTCCTACCAATAGTGCAGTGCTCTCCATTCCACCCAGGACTGCATTCACACTTGCCATCCTTACAAGTCCCATGTTCACTGCAGCGTGGGTGACATGCTCGTTGATCACAGACACTGCCCATCCAGCCTTCGTCACAGCGACAGGTGCCTCCTATGCAGATTCCATGGCCGCTACAGTCTACTGCACAAATCTCTGTGGGAGACACAACAAATCCCTGTATTATTGTCAAAGATGTAACAGTTCAGTGCCGAGGTCAAGCAGGAATAAAGGGATTTTTTTTACACTCTTAGCAGGTAATTCCTTTCAACAATAAGGATTTAATAAGAGGATTACAATAAATTAGAGATTACAGAGGCCAGCCTTAAATGCTCCACTTATTTCTTTTACAAGCTCATGATAACTGCTGTTTCTTCACTGTTGTGACAAAAAGGGTAGTTGATAGGTTCTACAGGAAATATATGAGATATCGCATTTAATTAAAACCTTGTCAATAGTAGCTCCAAACAAAACAGATGGGAAGAGGTTATGACATAGTTAAAATATTATTGTGTAGAAACACCACTCAGAGAAACTGTCTCGGAAATTGTCGGATGCTCAATATTACTGTGTATAATAGTCAAAGTCTTGAGCCAACTTAAAAAACATCCTAAAGACCGTCAGCTTTTCTACTTAAATTGTTAGATCCAAATGAGTAAAAAAGTGATAATTGTTAGTATTTCTTCACTTCACGCCATTTCAATTATTTCAAAAAGTTTGCATACTTTTAGAATGCGTTTCCACTATTGTTAATATTTTCTTACCCTTCTTTGCATTTTACTTAGCCTTTAACTAAACTGTAATGGACTGCAATTTACTTGGTAATTCTGCAAGTCACTAAAATGCATGAAATTCCTCTCTGCTATTTTAATGAAGTATTGACTCAGTAAACCAACAAGTTAATACCCTTATTAAAATATTGACAAATGATTTTAACATGATATTTTACTGTCTTTTTGTCTTGTCATGGTTTATTTGAATGGTTCAACAAAATAGAGAAAGTTTTATCTTTTAACATTCTTATGGATTAAAGTTGAAGAGTCAGATTCTATTTGTGATTAAACATTTGAAAATAACACAAAAAGCATTATCTGCTGTTGCAATGTCAAAATATTGCATTCCAAAATAAAAATGCAGCTCAAATGCTCACAAAGTGTAGCTTACGTTTTCGATCTATATATCCTGAAATAAAAAGCTATTCAGATATAAAAAGAATAAATTTGGTTAATCTTAGTTGATCAGATTTTAATTATAGAATTACTTGGTTTTATGCTTTGGTTACAACTGCAACATAGGATTTTAAAAATATTTAATTATGGGATTATTACCATTACAATTCAGATGAATGAAGTTGAATTAATTGCTTCAACTGGTTGAGTAAAGGTTATTTGAACGATGCAAACGTAAGTGATGTAGCATGCTCAAATAATCTAAGAACAGTCCACAAATTGTCACTTATTTATTCAGGTATTTGCTAAACCAATTAATTATTTAAATTAAATTGGCTATCTGAACAATTGAATTGGGTATTAACCAAAGCTTTTAGTGACTTTTTGAGATCAGAAGAAGAATTTACATAGAATATATTTCCAATGGGAGGAAAAACCTGGTGGTCACGTATTAAATTTTGAATCTATGTGAAGATCTTAATGAACTTGATAAAAATGACAAAAAGTTTTTAAATTATTGAAGTAAAGCCTCAGCAGGTATTACTGCATAAATCGGACTTTCAATCCACAGGAAGAAGTTAAAAATCTAAAGAATTTAGCTTAATTATTGAGGTATCAAGTAATGTTTCATAATGGGATGGACTGAGGTCCAGATAAATAACCATGTTGGACATGACAGACAGATTCTGAATTTCTGCAGTTGCTTTTGTGAGATGTAAAGAAAATAGACAAAACGCTGCAGGAGCACATGATGGTGATCACTTTCTAAAACAGGACTTGGAACTCCAAAACAGAATGTACAACATTCACACTTATTCACTTACTGGAACTCTTTGCCAACGTTACTCTAAAAAAAATAGATTTAACCAAATGGAACCTTCCAAGCTATCAATGTTAAATATTTTGCAGTCTGTCAAACAGTAAAGGAGTGATTTTATTGATCACACAATAGCTTAATAAATGGGAGAGAACTACTAAGTTTCAGTCCACAGCCACTCAGAGATGAAGGAAGGTAAAAGTTCTTACAATACTATGTGTTCTTTTTCTTGCAGTAAACTGCTATTTCCCAGTTCAGCAATTAAGGGGATTAATTTTATCGTTTCAATTCAAATTATAATTGCAGCTATGCAAATTACATAACTTGATATGATTTTAATTTAGACGTTTCAGTGGGATTGTGTCTTAGATTTTTTACTGCTGTCAAGAACACCAATTATAATAAATGCACACATATACCTCAATAAGAGTAAAATGAGACAAAAGTAAAATGATAAAAAGTCTTAAAAAGATTTACAGAAGTTTATCTTTTCTCAATATTAATATTATTGAATGTAACAGCTGTAAAACTGAGCAGTGACAAAGTTTATTTGTTGCAACAAACTGGGTGAACAAATGCATTGGATTAACAACATCTATTCACAGGTCCGTGATTAGTGATTTCTACACCTTAATCTGATTATTTGGGTAATAATTTGTGTCAGGCTAAGCACTTGCCCCCAGGGAGGAAAGATGATTTGTTATGTAGGTCAACGAGTGCCAGTCTAGAGTGAACTGCTGACTGCAAAATGGTAATTCAAACTTGGAGCAGAAATCCTGCTTTCCTTTGCAGCTCTGAAATGTACATGATGGAGAGGTACAATGGATTCTGAAAAGAAAGGTGACAACCAATTAAAAATCAGAGTTGCGGGGGTGGGAAGCCTGCACAGAGAATATGAGAATATGAGAGTAACAATAAAATATATGGAGAGGTGATGGCCTAGCAGTATTACCGCTAGACTATTAATCCAGAAAATCAACTAATATTTCTGGGGATCTGGGTTCGAATACTGCCATGGCAGATGGTGGAATTTGAATTCAATGAAATATATACGGAATTAAGAATCTACTGAAGACCATTGTCAATTGCTGGAAAAACTCATTTGGCTCACTAATGTCCTTCAGGAAAGGAAATCTACCATCCTCACCTTTTTCCTACCAACGTGTAACTCCAGACCCACAGCAATGTGGTTGACTCTTAACTGCCCTCTGGGCAATTAGGGATGGGCAATAAGTGCCACCTAGCCAGAAGTACCCTCATCCTGTGAATGAATAAAGAAAAAAAATTGGCCTAGCAAGCCACACAGTTGTATCATTCGCTACAAAGTCTCAAGAAAGAATTGAAATCGAATGGGTCACCTGGCATTGACCTCGGCGCCAGAAAAGACAAAGCCCAGATGACTTGGAAAGTACTTTTTACTAACGTCTGGGGGTGAGTGCCAAAATTGGGAGCGCTGTCTCACAGATTAGTCAAACAACAGCCTGCATTAGCCATACTCATGGAATCATATCTTACAGGCAATATCCCAGATACCACCATCACTATCCCTGGATATGTCCTGTCCCACCGGTAGGACAGACCCAGCAGACATGGCGGCACACTGGTATACAGTCGGGATGGAGTTGCCCTGGGAGTCCTCAACGTTGACTATGGACCCCCATGAAGTCTTATGGTTTCAGATTAAACATCAGCAAACAATCCTACTGATCACCATGTACTGTTCTCCCTCAGCTGATGAATCTGTACTCTTCCATGTTGAATTACACTTGGAGAAAGCACTGAAGGTGGCAAGGGTGTGCAACATGCTCTCATTGGGGGATTTCAATGTTCAGCACCAAAAGTGGCTCAGCAGCAGCACAACTGATTGACATGGTCGGGTCATAAAGGACATGGCTGCTAGACTGGGCCTGCGACATGTGGTGAGGGAACCAACAAGAGGGGAAAACATACTTGACCATATCCTTACCAATCTGCTGGCTGCTGCCCATGACAGTATCAGTAAGAGTGACCATCACACAGTCCTTGTGGAGGCAAAGTCCATTGTGTGACACTATCCCTGTGCTAAGTGGGACAGACTTCAAACAGATCTAGCAGATCAAGACAAGGCATCCATTCAGCACTATGAGCCATCAAAAGCAGCTGAATTGTACTCCAGCACAATCTGTAACATCATGGTCCGGCCTATCCCCCACTCAACCATTACCATCAAGCCAGGGGTTCAACCCTAGTTCAATGGAGAGTGCAGGAGGGCATTCCAGGAGCAGCATTAGGCATACCTAAAAATGAAGTGTCAACCTGGTGAAGCTACCTAAGAAGACTACTTGAATGCAGACAGCATTAGCAACAAGTGATAGACAGAGCTAAGTGATCCCACAACCAATGGATCAGATCTAAGCTCTGTAGTCCTCCACATCCAGTCATCAATGGTCATGCACAAATAAAATAACTCACCGGAGGAGGAGGGTCTAGCCATATCTGGCTGCTGTGGTCATAAGTAGTTTGAACCTTAAGGGAGTGGATCCTTTCCTGGTCACCAAGATTGCTGGTTCACGATAGGGTGTTCTGATTGCAATGTGGGTGGAATTGATTGCATCCTGCACTTGCAGGAAAGGCAGCAAGGCCTGAGAATCCTTAAACCCTTGCTGTCCACCTCCTCACAGCAAGGGACAAAGTGATGAATTGACAAGCTCTTGAGAATACAGTATCACTAACATCCTGAATGCACTTATCAGTTGAATACTGTAAAAATCCAGATGTCCCCAGCATATCCCTGAAATGATCAGCTGGCAAAGAAATTCAGGGCAGCCTGTTGCTTTTAGAATTACAAGGAGGGGATTGGTGCCAGTCCTCGGGACTGCAGATCCTCATCACCTTGCTAGCACATGTGTGACATGATGGCTAGGAATATCCTTAGCTGTCTTCTACACTGGCTCTCAGCAATTTGCAGATTAGATCATCAGAAATAGGAACAAGAAGTGGTCCATTCAGCTCCTTTGGCCTCACTGCCATTCAACAGGAACACGCCTGATTCGATATTCCTACGTTCACTTCCCTTACTGATCAAGAATCCATCTATTTCAGCCTTAAATGTACAACAGGGATTCTGCCCTCACACCTCCCTGTCACGAGTAATTCCACAGGGCTCACTCAGAAAGATCAAATTTCCCCTTATCTCAGTCTTAAATTGGTGTTCATTTATTCTGAGGTTATGCCCTCTGGTCCTATACTCTGCCATGAGGGGGAACATCCTCTCAGCATTTACCATGTCAAGCTCCTTAACAAATTAATATGTTTCAATGAGATCACCTTTCATTCTTCTAAATTCCAATGAGTAGAGTCCTAACCTGTATAACATTTGCTCATAAGACAATCCCAACATACCAAGGGTCATCCTTGTGAACCTTCTCTGAACCGCCTCCAATGAAATGACATCTTCCCTTCAATAAGGAGACGAAAAAGCTGCAGCTGAGCTCTCAGATCCTGTTCCATGCAAGAGCTGTGTTGCTCCATGGTGACTGTTGTTCATCTTCCTCTGGAGGCTGTGTGGCACTTGGTTGTGGCCACTGTTATTGCAAATCGAGTTGTTGTCTGCTGCCATATGTGTTGGCTCCATTGCAGTTCCATTGAACTGTAAGGATAACTGCTGGATTAACCTCTTCCATGGTCCCCCAGTGTTCAGGAGATCACTGAGCGCTGTAACCTTACTAAAGGCTTGATTCACCTTGACATTCTTGTCCATGAAGCTCCAGGCTATGGCCTCCAAAAGTGCAGGAGTGCACCCAGCCAAGGCCACAAGCACCATGTACTCCCATTTGATTCTGCATCAGATGTTAGCTTCTTGCCATTAATCTCACAGGAAATTGCAATCATGTACTACTACAGGATTACCTTTGAGCCCGACAAAGCAACTTCTCCTACATGTACATAATCCTGACCTCATGTAACAGGACCCAAGAAAGTGTCCCTGTGGCCTTCAAATGCAAATGAAGCAGTTGCAAGGCAGCAACACGACCCCACACCCCACACTGTCCCCACTCCCTGCCCACGCCCCACCGCAACCCACTGCTTCCAAAAATTACCATTGCTCATTGCTGTCTCTAGTGTTTATCAGTTTTGGAGCAAGTGCTGGATTGGATGCAGTTTTAGGTATATATTTTAAGTCTACTGAAGTAAGATTCTGAACAGTTCTAGTCTCAGTGCCTGGAAATAACTTACCAAGAACATTTAACTATTTTTTACAATCTATAATTCACAAATTTGACCATTAAGAAGAATCTATAAAGCCACCAACTTTTGGAGGGAGGGATATTCTGGAAGTTGTTTTTTTTTCTAGTCCAGTATATTTATAGCATTCCTAACTGTTCAGATGTAATGCATGAGATATGTTTCTTTCATGAGCATCAGCCAACGAAGAATCAAGTGAATGTCCCTTCTTTCACTCGCTCTTGTTGCCCTGAGAGGTCACAAGATACCAATCAGGCCACAATGTACTTTCACTCAGTCAGAGTTGGATGGAGTAAGAAAAAAAACAATCAGCCTGCTTGAATGTGTTATGACACACCTCTGGGACCATCAAATCCTTCGGGAAGTCTTGAACCAAGGCCTATAAATCTAAAGGTAGGGACACGGCTACCACACCACAATATCCTCTATGTGTGGTCTGAGGAATATTGACATTCTGGACATTGATTTGAAGACACATACTTGGCATTGTGTAATCAACGAACATATGATTGCTGGAGAAGCCACACATTCCAGTTCTGAACACTACCCGTTTTATTGATATTGAAACCATTTTCCACAGTTCATTTTGAATCAATATAGTAAGGTGCAAACTTTACATGTTCTGTAGTGACTTGCAGGCTCTTTGTGTCTGCAATTATCCTTCACCCTCCCCAAGTTTCAGTTGAACCATTGACATGATCAATATAGTCCCATTTTAACCCTGAGGCCACCGAATTTTGAGATGTTGATGCACTTACTGGTCCTGTATCATTCCAATAGAGGTCAGAGTAACCATGACTTACCTTGATCCCTCCCATTTCTACTGGATTCTGCCTCACTGTCTACAATTTCCCCCTATGACTGTTACCTTAGCCATCTAATACAATCAGGTCAGTTCTTAGACTTGAGCTGCCTGCATCTCGATAATGTCATGGACTGACCCTAGAAGCCCCTGGATAATGCAGGATCCACACCCTTGACTGACTGTGGCCCAAGCCTTGGAGAAATGTTGTCATCTGAGGGGAAGTGGACCTAAATGCCAAAGTTCATTTCAATGATGATAGTGTGATTTTTGGATATTCGCCCAAGTAACTCATCCACTTTGGACAGTGAAAAATTGTGCCCACATCATCCAACTTGTGATGTGATTCTGTTATTGGTCAACATTTACTAATCAACCCTGACCGTGCTACAAATTACACAGATTATCAAATCAAGTTTATCAATCTGGCGCACAGTTTGATTCATTTACATGTTAGAACTACATTTATTCACACACAAGATTGTAGGTTCTTTCTAGACAAAAAAGATGTATGCACAGTGCAACCATTTCACTGAAGAAAAGCTATGGAGATGACCAATCCCTGCTACATCCTGATGACAATATCCTGACCAATCAGAGTTGACTTGCTTGATTTGAACTTAATCAGTTGACTATGACAGGTAAAAGTTCCTACTGCATCTTCATATCAACCATAACACAACTAGTCAGCACCATCTTTTCATACTATATAAATGTTGCATTCTTTCTAAGTTGTTTTCTTGTGTTTACTTTATTCTTTCATGGAATATGGATATTATAGGCTAGCAGTTTATGACTATCCCAAACTGCCCTTGAACTAGGTGGCTTGTTGTGGCCATATCAGAGGGCAGCTAAGAATCACCTACATCTGTGGGGTTTGGAGTCACTTGTAGGCCAGAGCAGGTAAGGAATAAGGTACAGTTTCTGTCCTCAGAAATACAAGATGAAAGGTTCTGACTTTATGTGACTTGTTAGTAATGGTAACATAGAACAATGCTTACATTTGTTTCAAATTTGTGTTTCTTAAACATATAATCATATGAGCTGATTTTACAAAAACCGAAAGTACTGTGGATATTGTAAATCAGGAACAAAAACAGAAGTTGCTGGAAAAGCTCAGCTGGTCTGGCAGCATCTATGAAGAGTTCTGAGGAAGGGTCACTGGACCCGAAATGTTAACTCTGATTTTTTTCTTCATAGATGCTGCCAGACTAGCTGAGCTTTTCCAGCCATTTCTGTTTTTGGGCTGATTTCATAATCAGGTAGTTTCACCAACAGTTCAGAAATCATGGTTTCTGCAGGAGTCATTAAAATGTAACCTGCTTAGGCCACTGGGAAACTGACAGATTTGAATCACCCACTTTACATCTTGTTCATTTACTTCTTTCCGCTGAATTTGATGCAAAATAACATTGGACAGACAATGAATCAGGCTGCTTATCAGATCCTGATGGCTGGATTTAGTAAAAACTACCCCATCTTCTTTGCTTCCAGGTAAAAAAAAATCAGTTAAAGATCTATAATTTCCCAGTCAGCACTCACCATCCTTTACTGGGAGCACCAGATTCAAGATTCAGGCTGATTGCTTGCTCAAAGAAAGGGAAACTTAATTTTATGTCAAAACAGTATTCAGTTGCTTGGAAGTCAGAATTTAGTTTGACATACAAACACAGGACGGAGACAAATATTTTTAATGAAGCTTAAGATACATCACATCTGGTCTGCTGAGACGAATATAGGAAGAGTAGGCCATTCAGCCCATCAAGTTTGTCCCACCATTCAATACAATCATAACTGATTGAATACTTCAATACCTTTTACCAAGCCATCCTCATAACCGATCGAATACTTCAATGCCTTTTACCAACACATCCCCATAACTGATCGAATACTTCAATACCTTTTACCAACCTATCACCATAACTGATCGAATACTTCAATACCTTTTATCAACACATCACCATAACCCTTTGTGCCACTGGAATCAGAACTCAATCTCTACCTTAAATGTATTCAAGGACTGAGCTTCCACAGCCTCTTCTGGTAGAGAATTCCAAATGAACTGCTTAAACACAATACAATTCTATAAGTATAGTCTGTGTGCTCAAGTTACGATGACAGAAATAAAAAATGTAAGATTCATTTGGGTGGTTGGAAAAGTCCTGCAGTGAAGAAAATAAAAATACCTAAGATAAAAGAGCTTTCTCTTATGGGATGTGGCAATTAGAAATTAAATTGTTATTGTGTCTCATTTGCTTTACAAAAAAAAGTTCACTTTAAGATTTACCAGTTAGAAACAGTTTCAATACGTCCAAAGTTTGACTTTTCAGTTCTTCTTCAAATCAACAAGAAATTGAATAACTTCACATTGCAGAAGTCATTAAGGTATGAGTAACACGTTGCAAGGACTCTGACTATTATATGATTCCCCTGCAACAAAGCTGTGGGCAATTGTACAATTGTGCCTGTAATATCAAATAGTAATAGTCGAGTGTATTACCCACGGAGCAATCATGGCCTGTCCAGGCAAGGTCACAGTTGCAGGTCTTTGAATCTGGTTGGAATGTACCATGCCCTGAACAGTGGTCTGTACAAGCTGTTCTTGGAGTCTCGCAATTTGATCCACCCCAGCCAGTGGTGCAATGACATTCTCCGCGAACACATATTCCTCGTCCAGAACATGTTGAGTCTAAGCAGTCCACTGAAAAATAAAAAAAAACTGCTTTAGAACTACAAATCTAATACATTTGGGCTGATTTTTTTTTATTAAAGGCCACATCAGTTAAATAGCAAATAAATAAAGCCTTATCGTTTTGTCACATTAAAAACACTCAGGGTCATTAAGGTGTCAGCTATTGTCACAAGTGGACTGAAAAATATATTCACTTGAGCCACAATCTCAGTCACAGAAACATTCTGAGGTTATGGGACTGCTTGCCTTCAGCAACTGTGTTCAATATCAGTGGCTAATTTCAGTTCCATTAAATCTGGAAGCTTTTCAGATCCTGCCAAGCATCTTCTATCTCAAGGAAATTGTGTTTTGAAGAAGAAAGAAGGTTTCAAGGTAAACAAGCAGGATATAGCAAACAAAGGGTAGATGAATTAATAAGGTAAAGGTATGTAAAAGTATAACAGCTTGTAAGCTGTTGAAAACTTTAATATGTAACTAAAAGGATGCAAATATCAAAAGTAAATGTGGATCTGTTCACAGTTGAAATGGGGGAATAACAATGTGGAATAATGTAAACTGGAAGAGATGTTTTGTGAAGACAGTACACGGCTCAACAGAAATAGTGTGGAACCAAGATTTAAACTGGAGTGAGTAATTGACTTTAAAAAAGAAAAGAAAACTGGAGAAATTGATGGGATTAAAAACTGACAAATCCCATGATTTATATCCTAGCGTTCTAAAAGAGATGGCTGCAGAGCTTGGGGATGTATCACTTTTAATCATTCAAAATTCTCTATGTTCTGTAATGCTTTCAATGGATTTGAAGATAGAAACTGTAATACTTGGGCATGGAGAAATGACAGCAAAGTGCTACCTCAGTTATCTCAACATTAGTCAGTAGGAAAATACTGGAAACCATTGTTAAGAGGTGTTAAACAACACTTACAAAATCATAATAGGATTAGTTGGGGTAATATAGTTTTCAGCGAGGTAAACCATGTTTGACAATCAGAGGTTTATGCAAGTATAAAAATATAACTATTGGGATAGATAAAGCAGAAGCAGTGGGTGTTGCATACTTGGATTTTCAATAAGTACTTGAAATGCTGTCACACCTGATAAGGTCTCTTGATGTTGGGAATAATATATTAACACTGGTCGAGGACTGGAAAAATAACAGAAAACACAGAGTAGGGAAAAACAGACCATTTCCAAGTTGTGAGCTTGTTAGTAGTATAGTGTCAGGGTCTCAGCTATTTTCAATCACTATTAATGACTTTGATGTATCTTCAATGCCTGCCCAATTGAAAACCAGCCCAATTCGGTTACTAGAATTGAAATGGATGGCTCGAACTTTGCTGCAAAGTGCAACCAACTCTTTAAAACTAAGGGGATATGTTAAAATAATGTATCTACATTTGCTGGCAATACAAAGGTATGTGGGAAAATAAGATGTCAGAAACACTTAGAGGCGTTGCGAAGGGATACAGACAAATTAAGTGAGTTGATAAGTAGATAGCAAATGAAGGAAGTGTGAGGTTCTTCACTTTAGTGGGAAAATTAGAAAAATTATTTACTTTTCCAAGAGTGAGAAACTATTGAGGGGATACAGAGAAGTTAAGTGAGTGGGTAAGTAGGTAGCAGATGAAGGAAATGTGAAGTTCTTCACTTTAGTGGGAAAATTAGAAAAATTGTTTACTTTTCAAAGGGTGAAAAGCTATTAAATGTTGATAAATAAGAGCGATTTAGATGTCCTTGTACATTCGACACAAAGTTACCATGCAGGTACAGCAAGCAATTAAGAAGGAAAACAGCATTTAAGCCTTTATTGCAAGGTGTTGGGGTAGAAGAGTAAGGAAGTCTTACTGCATTTGGACAGCTTTGGAGAGAACATGTGCATGGTTTTGGTTTCTATATCTAAAGAAGGATAATACTTACCTTACAGGCATTGTAACAAGGCTTCACTAAATTGATTGCTGGTGTAAGAGGATTGTCCTATGAGGAACAATTGAGTTCCCAAGCCCGTTAAATTTTGAAGAATTAAAGGTGATAGCATCGAAGTATACAAGATTCAGGGGAGGCTTGACAGGGGACATGCTGAAAATCTGTTTCCCCTATCTGGGAAATCTAAAATGAAGAGACATTATCTCAACATAAAGGGACAGCAATGTATGGCTGAGACAAGGAGCAATTTCCTCACTGAGAGGATTGTGAACGGTCTGTATTCTCTGTCTTAGAGTCCTGTAGATTCCAGTTGTTAATATATTGAGGGAAGATCGTGTGCTGAACTCTAAAAGAACCCAAAGTACATGGCTGATAAAATAGGAAAGTGGAATTGAGGTTGGAGATTACCTTATTCTTAATGAAGGGCAGAGCAGGTTTGAGGAGCTACCTGTGTTCTTGTTATATTCTTAGCTATAACTAAAAGTTTCTCTGGGGAAAATCCATGCTTGAAAAAGAATTTTTGAAAAACAATTATGTTGTAGTTATCATGCAGTTGTCAACCAGAAAGCAACGCTAAGTTTTTTTTTAATTCACTCATGGGATATGGGCGTCACTGGCTAAACCAGCATTTAGTGCCCATCCCTAAGTGCTCAGAGGTCAATTAAGAGTCAACCACATTGCTGTGGGTCTGGCATCATATGTAGACCAGACCAGGTAAGGATGGTATATTTCCTTTGCTAAAGGACGTTAGCGAACCAGATGGGTTTTTCCTCAACAATTGACAATGGTTTCATATTTATCATTAGACCTTTAATTCCAGATTCTTTATTGATTTCAAATTCCACCATCTGCCATTTGAACCCAGGTCCACAGAACGTTAGCTGGATTTCTGGATTAATAATCTAGCGACAGTACCATTAGGCCACTGCCTCCCCAGCATTCACTTCTTAAAAAAACTATTCGAACTCATTGCAAACTATTTTACCTGCCAATAGTGTACTTGTCTAGGTGCATGATGCTCCTATTGGGCAAATATTCAGCAACATTTTCCAGTTTTTACTGTAAGCCTCAAGGGGAACCTTTTCAACTTTGTTTTGTTGAAAAGAAACTTTGCTGAGGATGTATGCTGGGCAAGTAGTCAATGTGATTCTTCAATCTTTAGTCTGGGTAAACACAGATTCCAGAGGTGAAAAGTCAGCATTAGCCAACTCTTCTGCCCAAAGGCATTTTCACCAACTTAAAGAGCACCAAAGATCATCTGCAGTTAATGAGAAGTCTTCAGCTCTCCCCAGTAAGCCCAGGCTGTTCTCAATGGTCTCAGAAGAATTTAGGAAACAGTACAATTTATAACAATAAAACTTAATGCACCATAAGCCTAGTACGGGTGGAATGTTTTTAAAACTAGTCTTGAGATTTCACCTTTCTGCAGAAGATCAGTCATGAGGAAGTTGCTTATGAGTTGTCACCGTAGAAAAGGCAGATGGGGAGTGGCAAAATTGTTGTCACAAATTCAGCTGTGAACTCGTGTTTTACAAAATAGATGCAGATAGAAAGGGCACTCAGGCTATCATGGCACATCCATTGAGTCGAAATCCTGGAATTCCCTCCCTAAGGGCATTGAGGGTCAACCTACAGTAGGTGGACTGCAGCTGTTGACCACCACCTTCTCAAGGTTAACTAGGGTTGGGCAATAAAACTGCTGGCCAGAGATAGTATGAACTGCAGATGCTGGAGAATCTGAGATAACAAGGTGTAGAGCTGGATGAACACAGCAGGCCAAGCCGCATCAGAGGAGCTGCAAGGCTGACGTTTCAGGCCCAGACCCTTCTTCAGAAAAGTCTTCAGAAAAGTTCATCCAGCTCTACACCTTGTTATCTCAAAACTGCTGGCCAGCCAGCTATGTCCACATCCCACAAGTGAGTTAAAAAATTCCATTCAGATCCCCTAAAAAGTACTGTCATGGAATCTGAGTATTTCTTGAATTAATTCAGGCTTGTTGCCTCCACTCTGAAAATCAATCCAAATGGCAGGTTTTTGGATCATTAAAATTCTACCAGAAAATCCTATTTGTACAAAGCTAACCAAAAAGTGCACTCAGAAATAGTAAGAACTGCCAATTCTGGAGTCAGAGATAACACAGTGTGGAGCTGGAGGAACACAGCAGGCCAGGCAGCATCAGAGGAGCAGGAAAGTTGACGTTTCAGGTCAGGACCCTTCTTCAGAAATTTTCTGCTTGGCCTGCTGTGTTCCTCCAGCTCCACACTGTGTTCTCTCAAAAAGTGCACTAAATGCCTTGTGGGGAATTTTTTAACATTAGTTCATTTGCACAGATTTGACTTTGTGAAGGAGTTCAAGTGACACTGAGCCATCCTCAGTTAAATCAGGGGAGATAGCCTTCAGCCAGGGGTATAGACATGGACAAAGGTGCAGTCAGAGTTCAGAGTCAGGATCCTTTCTTCATAAGAGCTGAGGAGCTGACTACCGTGTAACACATCACTTGTCCTGGCTGTTTCCACCTTACTGTGGGCTGTTTCCTTCCATAAGTGGGTCAGAGGCAATGACGAAGCTGTTACTTTTGGTGCATATGGGGAGGTGTCCCTTCTGAATGAGCAGGCAGAGCAGAGAACAAACAAGGTTACTGGTGTCAGGGAGAAAAACATAAATTGCTGAAAAATCTCAGCATGTGTGGAGAGAAAGCAGAATTAACATTTTGGGTGCAGTGAACCTTCTTCAGGACTCGAGTCAGAGTGAGTGTGAGGCAATGGAGAGACGATAGTGGCACTTATACTGCTGGAGTGAAGAATATCACCGACTTTCTTCCTGTATTGCTGTATGGCTGATATGGTCTGGTGTTGAGGCCTCCATTGCCAGTCCATGGGGAAGAGCGCATTTCCCCCTTGTGTACCACACACCCTCCAGGTCCCTGCCTGCAAATTGTGCCACCAATTTTTCCTTCTCTGCCATGTTTAGAGCAATTGTCAGGAGCCATTCAGGGCAACTTTAAACTGATAACACTTGTCCAGATGTACGACAAACTAATAAAGAAGGCGCTAGGTAAGCTGGTCCATTTTGTGACATTCTAACAC